AAAAGATACAAAATAGGGAAAAAATAGCTATTTGAGAAAAAAGGGGATACTTTGGAAAACACTGTTGCCTTGAAGACTTGAAAAATTGCATCTCCTAATAAAACAAATGATGTGTTACACTTAGGTTAAGTTTTAATAGTATTGATGTGGCCAAATCACTATAGGCTCCAGACAGAAGGGGTCATTTTTTGAGTTAGTTTAGAAAACAAAGACGTACATCTTTGTTGGAAGCAATTGACTTCCCGTTTCCAGGTGGTGTGTTTTCACCAAGGCATTCAGCAAGGACCTTCATGGCTCGACTGTCAAGCACTGAGCTGTTAACGGGAAGGTTGGCAGTTCAGATCCACGCATCAGCTTCCCGAGAGACAAGGTCTAATGACCTGTTTGCATGAAGCTTATTCTAGAAACCTGTGTGGGGTGTTCTAATGCGCCATGTGATATTGTGAGCCAGCCACCTAACAGCAGCCTTAGAGAGCATCATAAAGCACTAGGTTAGGGTACAGTTCCTTGTCTTTTCACTTTTGATGTTTGAGACATTTGCTGTTGTTGTAACGACCCTGTGAACAGTGAACCTGAACCCTGCCAGATTGTGTGTCTTCCTCAGTATCTCTGACGTCCGCGAGCCAAGGCTGCAGTCACTGTCCATCTGTCTTGTAGAGGGTACTTGTTTTCTCTGTGGCCCTGAATACTTGAGGCTGAACTTTGCAGGTAAAAACGTTCTATAACAGGATAATGAACGTTTTGGAATTTGATGAGAGGGTATGCATGTATGTATTTTTTAAAAAGTCATAACTTGGTTAGGTTTCATTTATAAACTTGGCTGGAAAATGAGAAATTTGAAAATGGAGACATTTGAAGTGATTTGAGAGGCAAGGGGACCTAATGATTTCTTTAAATCAATGATGCTAACTCAGGGACCTTATCTAAAAACGGAGATGAAATTAGATGCTCTTTAATGGTGTTACTGATTTAAAAACAAAACAGAAAGAAGCGTTTTCATTTCAGAGCCAGTTTTAAACACTGCGGTTGCTTTCCACCCCTGCGTTAGCATAGGTTGTAACATGCTGGAGGGGAAATCGGACCCTCATGCTGGGAAAGTTTATGCTGATATAGCAAGGTGATTTGGAATCTTGGGAAGTTGCCACATTTGCATGGTGGCCTAGTGGTAAGAAACTGTGCTGCAATCCCAAAGGCACACGGTTTGAATCCACCAGTGTTCTGCCAGAGAAGGTTGGGCAGTGTTTCCCCCTGTGTCTCTTCCTGCCTCTGAAAACCCACTGGAGGACCAACTAGGAGTAGGTCCAATTTGACAGCACCCAACAACAGGATTTAAACAGCTTTCTTTTAGGGTCTTCTTGACCACCTACTAGGTTTCAGGAGAATTCGAAGGCTGTATTTAGACTTTGGCAATGGGCTTAAGTATGTCAGAGTTGACAAGGTTGGCACAGCATCGGGCAGGGTTCAGATCTGGTGTTCATAGGGTCATTTTGAGTCGTAATCTACTAAAAAAGCACCTGTCAACCAACAATCACAACAACAACAGTTTAGACCTTTATTTAAAGCTTTGCTGGAGAATACAGTCTACTGGAGCAGGAAATAGATCTCAAACTTTTCCCATTTATCTGCTCAGCTGTTCACAGTTTCAGAGTAAGGAAAGAGAGAGAAACTCGGACCAGGAAGTGGCTTGCTGTGTCTTGTTCCTGGAAAAGCTGGCCGCCTTGGAATGCTTATCATTGAAGGTGTGACCTGAATGCGTGTTCTGCAGTTCTCATATTTTCCATTAAGGTGATCACGTGGCTCAATAAGGCACTTTCTAGGGAACCTTTCTGCTAGGAAGGCCTTCCTTATGACTCTGTAAGGGTCATGAACTTAAGAGAGGATTGTGTCTAAGCAATTCATACTGTAGAGAAAAGTCGACCAGGGGACACCAAGCCACACACAGTTGGGATGAGAAACAGAACTAAGCTGAATCCACATTTACGATTGCTATTGTGGTTTCACCCCAGTTCTATGTTGCCAGTCGGTCCAGCCAGTTGTTAGCATTCATGGCCAGGTGTTTTAAACATGGAAGTGTAATTTACACCCGTTTGCACTGCTGGTGAATGAATGTTGATTACATCGGACTCCGTGGAGTTTCAAAGGCTGTGAGCCTGTGGGATCTTCACTGCCCATCTTTACCTTTAGAGCAATTGGTGGATTCCACCTACTGACTGTTAGCAGCATAACGGAACAAACCATACACCAGAGGTCCTTCAAAAGTGTATTTTACGTTTTGAAAGGTAATTGGGCGGGGGTTATGCACGTAACATGAGCCTTGTTTGCTTGAAGGTGAAGGTGGTTTGAAGCACTACCAGAAGAGATCAAAGCTTACGGCTTTCAGTATTGATGACATTTCAGCCGGAAGAAAGCAGACATCTTCACAGCCGGACAAAGAGGTGCACAGCGTCGTGGTAACTGGAGAAAAGATTGACGTTTCATGGGTTGAACTTGACTTGGTTTAACGCCCATGGAAGCAGATGTTAAGAAATCAGACACGTTTTGCTTTTGGTGTTTTTTTTTCTGCCAAAGAAGACTCCTTTAAAGTTCTAAAAGAGCAAGTGTATCTGTGAAAAAATGAGGGAGCGCTTGACCCAAGACATGCTGTTTTCACATTCTACCTGTTTAATTGAAATTAGATCGTGAATAACAAAGCAAGAAGACTTGATGCTGCAGTTGAAATTAGATCATGAATAACAAAGCAAGACTTGGTGCTTCTCAGTCTTGGTGTTGGCGAAGGGTATTAAACATACAGTGGGCTTGCAGGAAACGAACAAATCAGTCTTGGAAGGAGTGGAGCGAGAGTACTGTTTACGATCCGAGGTGGTCGGAGTTTGTACTCCTTACTTTGGACATGTCATCGGAAGGGTTCCAGTCCCTGGAGAAGGGCATTGCCACGTTACTAGAGTAGCAGCAAACAGAGAGGAAGACCATCAGTGAGATGAGTTGACAGGGAGTGCGGACACGGGCACAGCCGGGATTGTACACGTGGTGTGGGATGCAGTGAGGCTTTGTTCTGTTGTGTGGAACAGGCATTGTGAGTCAGGACCAGCTCAGTAACACTGAGCCACAGCGGTGGATGTTTGTATGTGTGTAAGGAAGATAGTGGCTCTGTGTTTATTTAGCAATAAGACCTTTTTTTTTGTGATAAAAATTTGTATTTAGGATTTGCCAGCTGGGCTCAGTTTAGATGGTCCCAGTTTTGTTGGCAACATCCAAAGCATCATAATCAGGAGCAAGAGGAACGTAGTAAGTCTTCTTCTCTCCATCAGGCCTAATGGAGGTGTTGACCTTGGCCACATCAGTGTCACAGAGCTTCTTTACAGCTTGTTTAATTTGGTGCTTGTTGGCCTTGACATCCACAATGAACACAAGTGTGTTGTTATCTTCTATTTTCTTCATGGCTGACTCAGTGGTCACGGGAGACTTGATGATGGCCTAGTGGTCAAGCTTGTTTCTCCTGGGGGCGCTGTTCCGGGGGTGTTTGGGTTGCTTTCGGAGTCTCGGCGTCGTTGGCCACTGGAAGGTGGGTGATGTGCGGATCTTCTTTTTTTGTGGCTGTGAATGCCCTGCAGGACGCCTTCTTCACCTTTAATGCCTTTGTTTTGGTTTCCGTTTTTTGGGGGGCAGGGACTTCCTTCTTCTCTTTCAGCAGCATCTTCCTAGAAAGGAAGACTTTAAAATTTACAACCCTCGTCAAATAATGAACTGCCGGGAGAAGAAAAATAGGTTCATCGTAGAGAGGGTAATGCCTGGCTGCTCCATGGGGGCAGGGATTCTGAGGCTTCGTCTGACATACTGTGGGCATGTTGCAAGGAGGGACCTACTGGTCCCTGGAGAGGGACATCATGCTTGGAAGGGTGGAGGGATGGAGAAAGAGAGGGACCGTGTATGAGATGGATTGATACAGTGACTGGGTAATGAGAGTGAGTGTGTTAGAAAGAATAGGGCTGGCGCAGGATAGAACAGGTTTCAGGACTCACTGTGACATAGGGTCACTGTGAGTCACAAGCGATTCGACGACACTTAATAGTAACAGACAAATAATATCCTGAGTTCTGTTTTAAGTGGTAGGAAGATGTGGTTTCTTATTGAGCTAGAAGTGATTTACCCTGGAGTTGAATTTAACAGAATTAGGTTTGAATAACTGGGATTTTGATGTGTTGTGAACTTTAAAACCTCACAATGAGCAAATAATACCTGTAGGACTTTATAAAGTAAAAATTGTCTAAAATGGGTTATTTCTTTTTCTAGTTTTAACTTCTGAATTAATTATTTGAATAAAGAATTTATTTTTGAAAATCTGTAGTATTCGTTATAGGAGTATTTAAGTTAGAGGCAACAAATTTTACTGTAGTGTTTTTCAAATTTCAGAAAAAGTAATAGGAATTCATCAGATGTGAGCCCGTCGTGAGTTTTAGGAACAGACTAAGTGATGGCCCAGCTGTGTGCAGAGGGGTGAGAGGGTCTCCCCGGGGAAGACAGGATCTACACACCCACAGACAAGTTCAGCATCAGATTTACTCAACTCTTGGGGTCTGAAAGCTTAAAATCTTACTTTCAGTCTTAGCAATCGATTTGACAGGAAGATCCTGGAACTATTTTTATTTTATTTTATTCTAATAATTTTAATGAACATTTACAGAGATTTTGGATTTCCATTCATTCATTGTTGCACTTTTCTCCCTGACCAGCCCTACCCTGCCGCCCATAGGGAACATTATTTTAAAAAAATATTTCTGTAAGTTCTGTAAAGATCAAGGTCATGGAGGTGATAAATCTCACAACTGACTCTATATTCTAAGGTCTGTATAAATCTTTGTTCAGTTATAAAGTTAACCATAAGCCTGACATAGAAAACTGTGTTTGCAGTGTCTCCGGGTTGGGAAATTGGCTACTAGGAGTGGAATATAAAACAGTTTGGAAAACATGCAGCTTTTAATTACAGATACTTATCTGTCCAGTAGGGTAGGTAGGATTTCTACTTAGTAGTGCTTTTGAAAGCGTTAGTTGTATTTAAATTTGTTTGTGAAGGTGATCATTTTCTTTCATACCCTTAGATGGGCCTTTCCTTAATGAATTTGAATTGACAAGAATTACTCTAGCAAATCAACAGCTCGATTGCCCTTGAGTCAGAGGTGAATGAGAACAGATCAGGATTTTCACAGTTTAGGACGACTTGCCATGTTAACTGGAATGGGAGAGGTGTGGGTGAAAGCTCCTGAATGTTGACCTGGACAAGTGGAGTAAACTCTCTCAGGAGCCGGATGCGTGAAGCTGGGCTGTCACCGGGTCATGGGCAGGACTGCGCAGATGCACACACGTTGAGCGGAGCACAGCCAGTGACCAGCTTTGCTCAGGGCCTCACTCTCTGAGCTCTGCTCACCAGTGCGAAGCCCCGCTTTCCTCTTGTGTCAAAGTGCCCTCATATGAAAGAACCAGTTCCTGCTCACAACAATGTTTTTATCACAATCATCTTCGTTTGGGTCACATACAGCTTTTAAATGACTGCAAAGGCTCTAAGCCTTTTCTTGCACGTTATGTGTTTTTTAAAGGCTACTTATGAACCCAAGAACTGTGTGCACTTGTTCTGACATGTCCAGCTTGACATGTAAGGCATGGATCTCACTCGTAACCTGAGGACTGTCTTAGAAGACGAGGAAATTAGAATTTGCGTGATACAACAACGCCGACGTACATATCTATAACATAGCTGCTGTCTGCAATTTCTAATGATACTTTTTCAGAAGTTTGAAAATTATGGAAAAATACTTACCTCTTAAATTTACTGTGTTTTCACATTATGGTGTTCTGTAGATAAAGGGAAATCTGGAGACATAGTCCTCAAGGAGTTGGGTTAACCCAAAGGCTGTTTCTCCGACGGTTTGAATCTACCACCATCTTCACAGGAGAAAGATGTTCATTATTCTCCCATGTGATTTACAGCCTCTGCGGGAGAGTCAGCTATGAGTCGGTTCCGTCTTGAGGGCACACGACAATGTATACACTAATAGAAATACTTGACTCACTGCAGTGTAAACACATGAGAAACCGTACGTGACTCTTCATACAGCTTTGTCGTCAAGACGGTTTTAGGAACAGAACTCGTTTGTAATCCAAGGACTCTCTGTATATTTTGGAACTTTTAAATTTCAGCGCTATGAAGTCACTATAATTTTGTCACAATAGGTGCTAGAAATAGGAGTGTATACTTGCACTTATAAGAACATATGGTACTGAAGTTAACAGTTTTTCACAAAGTTGGCTTTTTATTAGAAAACACCTTCTGATTTCATGTGGCATTTATATTTCATTTGTATGTCTTCACAGAAGTAATTGCTGACAAATAATTTTCAAAATGGTACTTCTTCCAGAAATATATCCAGAGTCCTGGCTTTTTATTGGTCTTTTATGTTTTGTTTTTTTGTTACTTGGTTTGTGGTGTTTTTTTGTTTGTTTGTTTTTTTGTTTGGTTTGTGTGTGTGTGTGTGTGTGTGTAGTAGGAGGGGACTCTTAACAAATGACTGTAGACTGTGTCAGAGAATGAGGTTGCAGGTGGGTGCACAGAGGGGGGCCAGTTATATTTGTTCAGTTCATGACCATGGGTGGCACCTCTGACCTTAACACATTTTCTCTCAAAAGCTGCTGTAAATCTATTAGTGTTGTTGGAAAAACAACACACATTGCAAGTCTTTTTGAAGGAGTTTGTTCATGTCATTATGGCAAGGAATATCAAACCTCACATGCCGAACAGCACTGGTATAGAAGCGACAGGTCTCAACCACGCAGAAGATCTGAGTCGACGCCTCAGCACATCTCTAACTTCATGAATAGCCTTCAGCTGAAAGGCTGTATTCAGTATTGATTAAGGACTTTGTCAGATGCTGTTGCTTCTGTGATGAACCAGGTCCTGGGCTGGGGTCCAGGGGTCCTGGTGATGGGCAGCTGAGCTAACCACTGTACTACCAGGATTCTTGCATAACCAACACCAATTCCAGAACATTCTTTTCCCTTCTAGAAGAAACCTGTCCTCATTAGCGGTCACTCCCCATTTTCTACCTTAGCTCTAGGCAACCACCAACTGACTTGCTGTCAGAAAGATTCATCTGTTCTGGAACATTCTGTGGTCAGTCGACTTACAGAATGGTGGCCTTTTAGCCTGGCTGATTCTGCTTAGAGCGTAATGTTTTTAAGCTTCATTCTTACTACAACAGATGCACTTCATTCCTTTTTTACAACACATAATATTCTATTACACGACTATTGCCACATTTTGTTTACCCACGTGTCACTTGATGGGCCTTTAGATTATTTTTGCTTTTTTAACTCCTTCCAAGCTTGCTACTTGCTGTGAGGACTCTGCTTTGTAAAACAAGCTTCCGCCTGGACCCTGTCACACCTGGTCCCTCCACTCTACCTGCAGGAACACAGACCCACCTGAGTGGCTGAGAGTGGCCTCCTCTTCCTTCCAGAGCCCCCGTGAGCATCTCTGCTGCTCTGCCTTCTGTGAGAAGAATCCCCAGTGTGTGTGTGTGTGTGTGTGTGTGTGTGAGAGAGAGAGAGGGGGAGTGTGGTGTGTGTGTGTGTGTGTGTGTGTGTGTGTGTGTGTGTGTGTGAGGGAGCCGCTTAGTGGAAATGACATTCCAGGAATGGATGACACGGCCTGTGTGTAAAGGCTGGAGTGAATAGGAGGCAAGAGGAATGCGTTTTGGACTTTTCAGAATACAGAAGTGATTTGATTCGTTTCTGAGCTAGGGTGTTGCTGCTGCTGCTTCTGGTGGGGTAAGGGAAGGAAGGGCCAGGCTTTATTAAAGGAAGAGTCCATGCAGTAGCAGTGATTTAGAATTACTCGACAATTTATGCTTTTCACTGACTCAGACCCAGTTCTCTCTTATTTTGACCTTATCTGTCCCCTATCATCCTGTTATTCAGAATAAATGTATTTTTACTGTCTCTTTGTGAGAGGAAATCCTGGGGTAATTCACTAAAGGATATAGTATAATAATAAAAAAAAATTTGGGATTATAGTTTGAAGCCTCTGGTCTAAGAGGGATGTTTAGATATGATACAAGTCTGAGTCAGAACTGAGCTTTTCATGGTTCAGTTTTAGATGTCGGCTCCTGTGAGCTGTCTTGAAACTGAAAAGAACTTGTAGGAGTTTATAGTCCTGACCATTTACTGCTGTTTGGTTGGCCCCGCTGTGCTCAGGAGGGGACAGCCACGCCTTTCCTTCTCAGCACCAGCAGAGCGTCAGATGGCGTTGTCACTGGCAGCCGCCCTTAACAGGAAGTCATAGTGGTGTGTTCTGTCTAATAGGATTACCCTTGACCAGATAGCCAACTTCAGTTCCTACATTTCCTTCAGATTGTTTCCTAGACGTGGTTCGATTTCCCTTAAGAGAGTCTTTTTCTGGAGGAAGGTCTGCAAAGGAGAGGAAGACCCTGGACCAGGTGGATTGACAGGGTGACTGCTGCCCTGAGCTCTTGTGTGTCAGGAAGTGTGAGGATGGCGCAGGACAGAACAGGGTTCACGTCCTCTGTTCTTAGGGTCGCTGTGAGCTGTACTCGACTCGACAGCACCTAACAACAACCTTGCTAAAATATCATAATTTACTAAGTTATCAAAACTTTTTTTTTTAAATTCCTATCTTCTTCACTTACAGGAAGCCCTGCTGGCTTAGTGGTAAGGAAGGATGCTGCTGACTCAAAGGCACACGGTTCAAATCCATCTGCCACTCCGAGAGAAAAATGGGCAGTCCGCTTCCGTGGGAATTACAGCCTCTGATAACAACCCAGGGAGGCTCAGTTTTGGGTCGTTCCTACTTGATGCCAGTGGGTTATTGTTGCCTTTTTAAAAAAAAACACAACTATTGTATTATTATTAATAATAATAATAATATTATTATTATTATTATTATTAGGAAAATTTTTCTAAATGAGCAGATTAGTTTCTACCACATTTTAAAAAAATTTCTTTTTCCAGTGTTTAACAAGAGAGCATTCATGTTTGCATTATTTCCTACAGTGAGTATTTTCGTCCAGCGTCACCAAGCTGTTTGAAATCACACTGCACATACTGCCAGGCTGGTTCTCTGTTAAGTTTTCCTAGCATCAGTCTACCTAGATGCCCAGCATTGAGACAGACTCGTTTTTGACTTGGTTGATGGTGTCAACATTCAGCTTAGAGGATAAGGTAGGTTTAGAGCTTTCAAAGAAGTGCTGTCAATAGTTAATAAAAATACTCTATGGTTTTTAGGAGATAGAGAATAAAACTTCCCTTTTTCAGAAACTGGTATAAGTGGAAATAGAAACAATGAGGTTTGTTGTTTGTTTTTTTTTTTTAATTCACTCATGGGAATCACTTACTTAATAATTTTACTTAAAATTTGTATGCATGGCCTGAGATTGTCCCAGCCACCCTCTTCCGGTCTTTCTGCCAACATTGTGGACCCTGGAGGATTTTGCCTTTTTCACGGAAGTAAAATGTTATTTAGGAACTGGTTCCTGCTTATTTTAAAGCTGCCAGACTCATTGTTAGAATCATCAGATAACAAAATTTAAAAGATGCGGATTATCAGTATTTGTAAACAGTAACAGCAAAGGCACCCCAGAGCAGTGTCTGTGTGTAGTGGCCTCGTGGGGACAGAGTCCCCTGTGTCCGGGTAGGCTGGACTCCATAGCGTTTTTAGTGACTGATTTTTCTTAAGTATCTCTGGATGGACTTGAACCTTCAACCTTTTGCTCATCAGTGAGGATGTTGTCCTTCACCTGTTAGGATTGCTAGTGTAACTTGTAGCTTTCTCTAGCAATCTTTATAGTTAGGAACAATGGGGTCTTCAGCATACATTATTGCTTTCAAGACAGTATCTTCTAGATATGATGATTATCAAGAATTGAAACATTCTTGTTTGTATTTCTAGATTCCTGGGGTGAACATGTGTTATATGTTACCATGTGGCAGTGAAAATATGGG